CCCCCTCTGACATTTTTAGATTTCAAACTCATATGATTCATAAACAGTAACATACATTTTCATTAAATAATATTATGGACTGAATAATGAAAAAACATGCATAACATGTAGCAAAATGCCAGAACAAGTTGCATGTTATTTGTAAGTTTATTTGTGTACTTGTTTTTAACATTGAACTTGCTTGTTGTGACCGATTCATAGATGTTCACAGCCGTCTAACAGTATATAGTCAATCAGTCCCATTACTGAAGTGATGTTTTATTCCAGGAGCAGGTGATCTTCCCCTTGCTGGATCGTGAGGATTTTCATTCCAAGCTTAGACGTCAACTTGCAGGGGATTCCCTCTTCAGATATCTGCTCCAGAAGGTCATTGTCCCCAGCTGGAATTAGCTTAAGCCTCTCAATTATGCAGAGTTGTGCAAGTAAGTAAGGAGTCTGTAGAGAAGATGAGGGAACAAGGACCACTGGGCCTGTTTTCTAGATTGCTGTGTTTTCCCCACAATACTTTCCTATTAGTGATTGGAGAGGCCAGGATAACTACCAATTAGGCATCAGGACTAGAATACTCTTCTAGTCAGCAGCTGGGAATTCAACCTAGCTATTCTAGCTTAATGACAAAAATTCAGCCCACCTTCAGGGCCATGAACTGGTCAGAATCACTGCAGGGCAAAGAGTTAATGGTCGGTTTCTGAGCTAGCTCAGCTATTTTGTTTTGTTGATGTTCTGATGAAATTAGAGATGCTCCCATACTAGCAAAACAAATTTGTTGTGTTTTTTTCACAGTTTGTTTTGTACTTTTTGTTATTCTTGTTCTTTGATTTCTTGTATGCATTCGGCTGTAAATTAAATTGAATTTTTAATTAATATTTAAATTTTAAAAATTTATAACTTTTATTTTATTTTAAATGATAATTAAAAAAACTTAAAACTTTTCAAAGTTTTTTCTTTTTTTGAGGTGTTTTTTATCTTATCCAGGTAGATTTTCAGACTAAGGAAACTGTAAACCAAGCTTGCAAAGTTCATGTTCATGTCATGTAAATCTGCTTTGATTTTTTTCTCTTCCCCCCCCCCCCCAGTATGTTAGATGATCGCCTTGGCAAAATTTATCTGCAGAGAGCAAAACAAAACAAAAGTTGCTAAAAAATGTAAAGAAAATAACAGTCTTCTGAGTGCTGTGCTTACCTATGTTTGTTATGCGCTATTGGCCTATGTGCCACACAAAAATAATCCCAGTAAGTTGATATTTTGTAACTTCCTCTTTGTTTCAGACTTACAATTCTGTGTATTAAACATGTGATTTGGACTATCACTGAAAATGAAATCACAAGCATTTTTTGGCCAGTTGAATATGACATATCATTCCCTCATTATTGTTAGTCATCCCCATCCAATTATCATAAGTCCTGCTTTTCTTTTGAAATAAATATTATTGACTAATATCAGGTTTTTGCTTTCAAGTGAAGCACTTGTACGTTATAACAAGCATGCTCAGCAGGGAACAGCTGCCACGGGTTGCAAGACAGAACCACAAGTCAATTCCACTGGAAAGGCAAGAAACAAAGAGACTGGTAGAGTGTAAGTTTTATAGTTTTGTCATTTACGGTCTCACCTCTAGACCAGTTGGAAGCAAGGCTCGAGAGCTCAAGCTGGCTGTTTCTCCAGACGCTACAATAGCGACTGTAATCCAGTGTTCCAGACGTCTTCAACAAGCTGTGACTCCAGTAGGTTCGGTTGCATGGTGACCAACTACAGTTTCCCTGTGCATGGGTAGGCGTGCATGTTTTGCTTCTCATACTCCTCGCGTCATAATGTCTTTCTATATAGCACTTCCCATACTACCTGCAATAGCAATCTAAAGCACAGTATAGTATACAGCTCAAAAACACGCTCAAAGTGAGTCTTGCTGCGCAAACAACTCCAAGAAGCATATAAGAGATCGCGTGCCATAGAGACTCGATACACATAAATAGTCCAGAGTAGATTGTTATATTGGAGTTGTGCGTCATATATTGGTTATCTTGTTTTATGTTAGTGTTTATGGGTATTATTGTGTTTGTTATGTTGATATAGCGGTCGTCCAATTAGGATCTTTTGGACATGTGCTCATGTGTTGTATAAGTGAGTACAATCAAATCTTACTTTATACACGTATATCAATATTGTGTACTCATGCCCTTATAGAATACACAGCTAAGAAAATATCTCTTCTGCTATATCATTACTATATTTTTATATATCTCTCTCAACTTACCATAGCATTGTACTCGTGTAACTGTTGCGTCCCTTATATAGATCTATTTAATTTTATCTTATATGATACATCTGTGATGTTGTATTCTTAATAGAGAGTGTTTCTCATTGCATAATATATAGTGCACCATAGTAGTATTATAAAACATATAATCATGTATACACTCACACAAGTTGAGTATAGAGTATATGTACTAAAATACTTCTATCTGAACAACACCTGCCCATGCCCCATGCTCTCGCCCATCAATAATGCGCTTCTAATATACATCTCAGCAGAAATATGAGAGGAGATGGGTATTAAACATAGAATTTCTTCCATGCAATAACGCACATCGTACAAGCCTTCCACTTCCGCGCGTATATTTCAAAATTTCCAGATATTAGTCTACTATAGAAATATAATGTGGAACTTATTTACAACTATATTTCTCTAAACTCAAACAATAAGTTTTATTTAAATGTTGAACAGTACCAAATCAAAATTCATTTGTAAGTATAACTACTCCAAGTCAGATTTGAAGTATGCACACCCCTCAGTGAAGAAAAAATTCCTGTTTACTCAACCAATTGAGCATTTAGTTGTGATAAATATCCCATAAAAGTTTTAATAATACTTTATAGACTTAACATAATTTATAAAAAATAGAATGTACTAAATCTTATAACTGTTAACATATCACTCTTATAATAAAGTCGCTTAGGTATTAGCACCCCTTCCAAGAGAGAAAATTCCTGTTTTCACCATTGATGGTATGATAATTAATATATCTAACTCTACCTTAAAATTCTATATACTAACTTATGAAAAATATTTTAGTCGAGCTCAAAGAGTTCATTGCATACTCTTCAGAGCCAATTAAAATATACATAACTCACCTTCTGACAACTTCTTGAAATATTGTCTGCGATCAGTTTGCTCGACCTATACCATTGAGCGGATGCACACATGATGGCTATTTCCATCGACTAGTGCGTGACCTTTAATCGTTCACAAATTACATCCAGTTCAGGTTCAGATATAGACCAGAATAATCTCCTACTACTTTAATTCTTCATTGACAATCCTCGATTACCTAATGCGAATTGGACGCAAGCAATATCTTGTCGCGCGCACAAACTCTATACCCTAATTCTATTCTGCTCATCGAAAATGTTGAGCCCCCCCTACTATCTTATCTATCATAATATGCTATTGTTGATCATAAACTATATGTTCACAGATAGCGACCCTAGTGTTTCTACATATCTCTCTAGGAGATTATCTCACCTCATCAAGAAAGACAGACCTCAGAGATTACAATTCTCAATATTCTAAAAGACATACCTTGAAAAAGAGCGATATGCTATAAAATTTAGACAATACTAAAAAAGTCTAATTTTAAAGGAAACATGATAAGACATATTTAAGACTCGAAATGCAATTGCAATTTCATAGACAAAGCTATTTCAAAGAAATAAACTCATAGGTGTATAAACAATCTAAGTCCTCTCTTGACATTTATCTTATGACTCATTATTCTAACTTATAATTGGTTATATACCATAATTACCACATCCAATATTGAATTATATACTCTTAAAAATTCTTATATATTTCTCAAATTAACAACACTCTCTCACATAGAATTACAGTTGTAACATTTTATATAATTAATTCATATCAAGACCAGCCTCTCTGTGTTACTAAAGAGATTCGTATTGAGATTAAAACTTCATAAAGGACAAAGTCTCTCCTGTATTTCTGTAAAAAAGTAACGTGAATATTCCAACAGATGAGTGATCTAATTAAATTATTACTTCAATGAATTAAATTATCCCTATTTTCATTAAATGTGTTAAAGTGCAGTAGCATGATATACCGTAATCTATATCAAAATTTGTATTGCTTAATAGTTATGATTATTACTCATTTTTTGTCTATATAACAATATGAGTGCGAGTGGCTCCCTGCGTAGCTATTATCACTTGTCATCTTATTGTATGCTGTATTTTTACATATATCATTCCCCACACAAATAGAGACTCTACACACTAGTTTCTTATATAGAAAAATAGACATTTATAACCAGAGCTCTGTCTATTAAGAATATTGGAATTTATAACAGCAGACGCTTATAGTAATGAACTATGAAAACAATTCCAGCTCAGTTCGATCTTGTATGCTCAGAAACGATTTTTCTACAATGGCAGTCAACACGATTACAACGCACATTTTCGAGCAAATATACAATCGGAGGCAGCACATATTGAGCAAACATATGTGTGAACCCCCCCCACGCCCACCTCTCTGACGATGCTCTTCCTCCTCCCGTCCTACACTGAGCCTCCTCTATATCGATCTCTCACTTGCTTTTAAGCCATGCCACACCCACGCGTTCTCCACATAAGCCCTTCAACCACAAAACAATTCTAGCAGAGAATTTGCAAAAATGAGATAAAAGAACAGGGTATAACCACTTGACCAATTAAGACAGCAAAACATTTGAAAACTCAATTCATCTTGTCAGCAAAAAGTACATCTTGAAAGAGCTGTCATAAAATAATAAACAAATTGAAATGCGTAAATGAGTTAAAATCCTCCACTTCAATCCATCCAGTTAAATACTGGAAAGGCAATTGCAGATTTAAAAGTTAGGAAAAACAATTACATTTTTGCATGGTTTATGAAATAAACAGATACATTTTGTTCAATTAACACTGCACTATTCTACTGAAAACAAGTAACAATGTAGTCTTAAAAAAATTACCTTTTAAATGTTGCTTTCTTTCCCAGAAATCAGTGATTAAAACAATTTTGAGAAATCATTCTTGCCATTTTGTTATTGACTGATAAGATACTTTCAACAGCAAACTGGGAATCTTTCTGGACTAGAAACTTATATACGTTCCAC